AGAAGAATTGCCTGAACCCAGGGGGCGGAGGTTGCGGGGAGCCGGAATCCCGCCATTGCTTTTTTGTCTTGGTTATTTTTTTTAATCTTAAAAAAAAAAAAAAAAAAAAAAAAAAAAAGAAATATAAGTAATCCCAGTAATGTGTATTATTAGTATCCCTACTGTATATACATTGACTACAACTATTAAAAGTTTCACCTTAAATATCAAAGATAGAATTCCAAAGTAAGTTTCTTATTCCATTTCTACTTTGATGTTGCTTTCTCTTTTAAAAATCTTTCCTCTACAAAACCAAGATAAAATTTGCTAGATATAGTTAGTGCCCTGAATTTAAAGCTAATATCAGCCAGACATAAGGGGCTATGACTTACCCTCCTAAAATAAAATACTTACGCGTCTGTTGTCTTTGTACACCCATTTAGATTCAATACTTCAATGTTCCTGCAGTTTTGTGCAAAGGTTCTTTGTAGGAAAGAAAGAAAAAGGTTTCAAATGAAATGGGCAAAATTTCAGTCATTAAAAAATAAAACATATTATTGGTAATATTGGTTGTTGATACCTGTGATACTGTGATATAAGGGAAAAACACATATTTGGTCTTCATCCTCGGTTCTTGGCATACAGTCATTAAAATCCTTGTAGTTTCCTGAGTGATAGTGTCTTTTGTTATAGGTTGGTGAAAAGTAACCATGATTACTTTTGCACCAACCTAATATAATATTTTGTCTTCAATCATGTCTACAATCAAGGAATCTCTGTAAAATCCCCTAAATTATAGGGATCAGAGAGCTTCTGGGTTGGTGAAAGTAACCATATGCCAGGAGGGCAGTACACCTCAACTCTACGGTGACAGAAGCTCCTGTGCCTGGGAACCTTCTGGACCCTGCGTTATACACTTCTTCATATTCCTTCTACCTCAGCCTCCCTAAATGCTGGGATTACAGATGTGAGCCACTGAGCCTGGCCATGATGGTTTTTTTTTTGTTTTTGTTTTTTTTTTTTATTTTTTTCGAGACAGAGACTCCCTCTGTCACCCAGGTTAGAGTACAATTGTGTGATCTCAGCTCACTGCAGCCGCCGCCCCCCAGGTTCAAGTGATTCTCCTGCTTCAGCCTCCTGAGTAGCTGGGATTACAGGTAAGCACTACCATGCCCAGCTAAGTTTTTTTATTTTTAGTAGAGACAGGGTTTCACATGTTGGTCAGGCTGGTCTTGAACTCCTGACCTCAAGTGACCCACACACATAGGCCTCCCAAAGTACTGTGATTCCAGGCTTGGGCCATCAGACCTGGCTTAAATTAATTTTCAATTATAAATTCTTCAAACCTAACTTTAAAAATTATTTTAAATTTAAAATAAATTAAATGATTGCTTATTTATTTTTAGAGAAAAGGTCTTCCTCTGTCACTCAAGCTATAGTACAGTAGCACGGTCACAGCTCACTGTAGCCTCAACCTCCCAGGCTCAAGTGATCCTCCAACCTCAGTCTCCCAAGTAGCTGGGTTTACAGGCATATGTCACATAACCTGGCTAATTAAAAAAACTTTTTTGTAGAGATTAGGGCCTTGCCATGCTGCCTAGATTGATCTTATATTCCTGGCATCAAGTAATCTTCCCACCTAGTCTCCCCAAGTACTGGGGCCACTGCTCAGGTTAGGTTTAACCATAACGCTAAACTTGATCTTTGTGTCAGCCTAAATTAACATTATCTTATCTTTTGAGTAAATCAAAGTTTTTACAAAAAGAACTAGGCTGGGTGCTGTGGCTCACGCCTATAATTCCAGCACTTTGGGAGGCTGAGGTAAAAGGACTGCTTGACTGCAAGAGTTTGAAACCAGCTTGGACAACAAAATGAGACTGTCTCTATAAAAAATTTTTAAAAATTAGCCAGCCGTTGTGGTACACATCTTTAGTCACAGCTACTCAGGAGGGAGAGAACTGTTTGAGTCTAGGAGTTCAAGGTTGCAGTGAGCCATGATCACGCCAGGGCACTACAGCCTGGGTAACAGTGTGGGACCTTGTCTCAAAAGATAAAGTAAATATAATTAATTAATTAATTAATTTTAAAAAAGCTTTTCAAAGTTCCAAAAGAACCACTTATGATGGGGAATCTGGGTTTTTTCAGGCAGTACTTTGTTCTTGTTTATTGTTAAAACTACATTTCCTATTACTGGACATTTTCAGTATGTGTGGTTGCATTTTTATAGCTTAGGAATTTTAAAACTATTTTAGCCTTTTCTGGGTGAGATGGTGCTGCTCTCTACTTCCATCAAGAAAATTAATCAACTGTTATGTTTTTACCTTAATGCATTGTCTCCCACTCCAAGACATCCACGAAGACTTAGCTTTCGTAAAAAGCCCCCACATCGTTTTGAAATATTCTCCACTACCCGGCCCTGTAAATACAGACAGGCAAACAAAAAGATAACCTATCTCATTACTTTTGAAAAGAACACATCCTCGTTTTTAACAATTTATAAACAAAGAGAAAATGCTTCCATTATGACCTAATTAATTTAAAAGGAAAATTCTAACTTACCCTAAGAAAGCTTTCCTGATTAACCCATATCACTTGAATCGTGCCTAAGCCCTATATTCTTTTTTTTTTTTTTTTTTTTGAGACAGAGTCTCACTCTGTCACCAGGCGCCAGGCTGGAGTGCAGTGGTGCGACCTCGGCTCACTGCAACCTTCGCCTCCCTATATTCTTATTTTGTTCAACTTGTAAAATATATTCTGTATTTGAGAAAATGATCTTCTACAGTTCTCTATGGCACTATATGCATATATACTGCCCAGGTGGGTTAAGCCACAGCTACTGAAGGACAGCAATTACATTTTTTTTTTTTTTGTATCTTTCCCAAAATGTGTGTACTATAGTACTCTGCTTATAGCAGGGACTTAATGAACATTTAACAGGTTAAATGTTAACAAAAAACTTAACAAAAGCTGTGCAGGCGCAGTGGCTCCCACCTGTAATCCCAGCACTTTGAGAGGCTGAGGTGGGCAAATTATTTGAAGTTAGGTGTTCAAGACAGGCTTGGCCAACATGGCAAAACCTGGCAAAACCTGATCTCTACTAAAAATACAAAAATTAGCCAGGCATGGTAGTGCACACACCTGTAGTCCCAGCGTCTTGGGAGGCTGAGGCATGAGAATTGCCTGAACCCAGGATGTGGAGGTTGCAGTGAGCCAATACCACACCACTGGGTGACAAAATGGGATTCCATCTCAAAAACAACAACAACAAAAAAACCCAAAAGCTTGCTGAATAATTTTGTGGGTGGTGTTGCTTTAAATATTTATATCCATGAAGGTTATGGAATTGTGAAAAACAGAATCCAGTATAATGCTAGTGGGTATTATTTTAAAAGCACTTTCTAAAGATAATGGAAGGTTCATCTCAGGCATTAAAAAACTTCTTTCATGGATTCAAGAACGTTTATTTCTGTTGGAGCTTAAAAAAAATTTTTTTTGAGATGAAGTTTCGCTCTGTTGGCTGGGCTGGAGTGCAGTGGCGTAATCTCAGCCCACTGCAACCTCCGCCTCCTGGGTTCAAGCGATTCTCCTGCCTCAGTCTCCTGAGTAGCTGGGATTACAAGCATGTGCTGCCATGCCCGGCTAATTTTGTATTTTTAGTAGAGATGGTGTTTCACCATGTTGGCCATGGTTGGTCTCGAACTCCTGACCTCAAGTGATATGCCCACCTCAGCCTCCCAAAGTGCTAGGATTACAGGCGTGAGCCATCCTGTGTAGCCTCAGAAAATCTCATTCAATCCTCACGAGGCCATGAAGAAGCTATTATTTCTACTTTCCTGATGAGAAGACTAAGAACTACACAGTTCAAATTCAGTTTAATATAATTTAAGCTTAAGCTATTCTCCATTTTATAGATAATAGGCTATACCAAGAGATAAAACATAGGGTAAAAAGTGAGAGGAGGGAAAAATCTCTCTAGCAAAAACAATTCAGTAAATGGTTTTGGCCTTATTCAATCTTCGTTCTCCACAAGAAATTGTCTCACTGCCAGGCGCAGTGACTCACGCCTGTAATCCCAGCACTTTGGGAGGCTGAGGCAGATGGATCACAAGGTCAGGACTTTGAGACTAGCCTGGACAACATAGTGAAGCCCCATCTCTACTAAAAATACAAAAAATTAGCTGGGTATGGTGGCAGGCACCTGTAATCCCAGCTACTCAGGAGGCTGAGGCAGGCGAATCGCTTGAACTGGGAGGTGAAGGTTGCAGTGAGCAGAGATTGCACCACTGTACTCCAGCCTGGACAACCAAGCAAAACTACATCTCAAAAAAAAAAAAAAAAAAAAACCACCCAAAAAAAAAAAAAAAAAACATAAAAAAAAAAAAAAAAAAAAAAAAGCCTCCTCAAGAACCAAAACACATATCTCAAAAAAATATATATAAATGCCATCCCAAGAAGTTGTGACTCTATTTGTTCTTCAATAAACATATAAAATGTCTTCACTAAAATGAGCAAACATAAGTTAAACGTTTCTACTGCAAAAACAAACTTTTAGTCATATTTCAGGACCAAAGAGTTTTATTTAGTTCTATTAATACTAAGTAATTGTACTATTTAAATGAAATAATTTGGCTCATTCTCAAAAACTACAGAAACTCTTGGGAACTTTGGAGGTTCCAGTAAAGTTCAGATGAACTGAAAATAATAGTCCCCCTTCTCTAAGGAAAATGAGATTAATATGGTTAGGGCTAATCTGTTCCACGCTGTAATTACTAACATGAAAATTGGGGCCACACACCACTTAATTATACCTCAATATCCCTCTGGAAATCAAATAGGTCAATTCGCTGCCAGTTACTGCCATCCAGAGCAAGAACATTCCAGGCCTATTTTAAAGAAAAAGAGACAAAATGAGCAGAAGCTAAAATGAAGGGGAAGAGGCAGCAATATTCAAGTTCACAATTCAACCAAATGACTGAAATGGATCCAAAAATATATCAGGCCCTACCACTTACTCCCAAATGATGTGCCTTATTCCTGACCCATACTTTATTCTCAAATTAGATAATCTCATAAATGAGTGGGTACCAGAAACTAGCAGCTACAAAAGATCTTAGGCCAGGCATGGTGACTCAAATTTATAATCCCATCACTTTGGGAGGCCAAGGTGGAAAGATCATGTGAGCCCAGAGTTCCAGACCAGCCTGGGCAATGAAGCAAAACCCGATCTCTATAAAAAAATTTAAAAAGTCGGCCAGGCGTGGTGGCTCACGCCTGTAATCCCAGCACTTTGGGAGGCTGAGGTGGACAGATCACCTGAGGTCAGGAGTTCAAGACCAGCCTGGCCAACATGGTGAAACCTTGTCTCTACTAAAAATACAAAAATTAGCCAGGTGTAGTGGCATGCACCTGTAATCTCAGCTACTTGGGAGGCTGAGGCAGGAGAATCACTTGTACCCAGGAGGCAGAAGTTGCATTGAGCCAAGATTGCACCACTGCACTCTAGCCTATGCAACAGAGCGAGACTCCGTCTCAAAAAAAAAAAAAAAAGTTTAAAAGGTCAATTAGCCAGGTGTGGTGGCACATGTCTGTGGTCCCACCTACTCGGAAGGGTGAGATGGGAGAATCACATAAGTCTGGGAAGTCAAGGCTGCAGTGAGCCACGATCTCACCACTGTAATTCAGCCTGGGATACAGAGCAAGACTGGCAAAAAAACAAAAAACAAAACTATCACCCCCACACCCCCACATACTCTTAAATGAGAGAAGGGCAGGTTGTGATAAATATATCATAGCCAGAAGGTGTTTTCTAACCAGAAAATTCAATTTCTAATCCCAAAATGAGACAAAAGTTCAGCTGAT